TGGGAGGGGGCGGGGCGCGGAGGGGCCGGTCCCGGCTGAGGGGCCGTTGGTGCGGCAGAGTCGGAGCGGCGGCGGCCGGCGCGGCCCCGGGGAGAGGGCTCTGACGAGAGAGGGACCGACAGACCCACGGCGAGGGAGGAGCCAACCCCCGGCAAAGGAGCGGCCACGGCGAGAGAGGAACCGAGCCCTGGCAAGGGATTGTCTGACCCCCTGCGAGGGAGTGAGCCCCGGTGAGTGGCCCCTAATGAGTGCCCCTCGCGGCGTGGTGTCGGGCCCAGTACCTGTGCTCTCTAACTGATCTACATCTGTACTTGCTGACGGGAAATAAGCATCTGTCTGACATCTGGAACAGGACTTTCATGCTGACCTGTAGGGAGGCTGCTGGCACTTATTCCTTTTGGGTCACTTTTCAGGTACATTATTGAGGTATGATCTGGATGCAGAGTCTGGTTTCTCACACAGCTGTTGGATGAATCGTTTTGCACAAAGGATGGTGGAATGTTGCACTGGCATTTGCCCTGTAGTGTTTCACACGTTACAAGCCATTTTGGAATCCAAATAAAGCTTATGTAGTTAGGAAATAAGTATGTAGGGAATATGCACAAATATTCCTTGTGTGACATATTCCTTTTTGAGGTTTTTAAGAAATAGTAACTGTATAACAACAATACCCATTTGTTTCAAATTAATAGACAAGAAATAGATCAAAATCAAAGGACAAGGAGCTGAATGTAGTTACCAGCTGTCCTGTCTCTCCACCAAAAATGGGATGACAGCCTTACATGAAATACATTTCTAGAACTGTATAATAGGTTATATGTATTACTATATAATAGGTTATATGTATTACTAGTCTGAAATGACAACAGCTCTATATTGCCATATTGGCTTATCCAATACTGGATAGAAACTTATTAGAAGTGGTGTATGTGCATATGGGATAGTGTTTTGAGGGGTTTTGTCTTGTATGTATTTACAGTAAATACATTCTCTCTCTTCTACGTGGTTTTGTGTGCATTCCTGACTTCTGCCATAAATTTCTCCCTGGCTAAGTGGGAGGTGTACAAGAAGGTGCTGTCCCCGCTGCTGGGAAGGTTTTCCTTGAAATACTTGCACACTTCGCTATCTTCTGAAATTGTAGTGTGTCTGTTCTTAGAGTCTTTAATAACCATTGTGTAGCCAGAGGAAATGTGAACATAAATGGTCTCACCTTCCCCACACATTCAGTTCAAACAAAACCAGGAAGCAATCTGTGTCATCTTTTAGAATAAAGTATAGCATTTCTATCTCTTATGATTAGTCAAACTGTTGATGTGGTAGGCACTTCTCCATCAGTGGAAAAGTACTGGTTGATAATTTTGGCACTTCAAATTGTCAGTGAACTCTTGCTGGTATTTGACCAAGATAGTTTTACCTATTCAAGCTCCATTAAGCCAAGGGACTTGAACAAAATGCGTGGTGTGAACTGTTAGAAAGGGTGCTATAGTTGCTACTCACTTGTTACTATAGTTACTAGGGTTTGGGAGAGAGTCTAAATTCAGTTTTTTGAGGAGAAAAACTCAGCCTAACAAAGGCTGGTGGGTACAGCAGAGTCTAATGGAACATTTGGAAAAGTGGCGCAGGATATTTGGCTGCGGGGATGAGAAGAGAGAAGGCATTTCGTGAGCACCTGATGGAGCCTCTGTGTATTGTGTGCATACCCATATTAATTAAAAGCTGTATTAATGCAGGGTCACTAAGACTCAATTTTTTCTTCATATTTTAGGTGTCATAAATAAATAGGAAATCAATGGACTTCAGGCGTGGATCATTACCCATGTACTTTGGTTTGCAAATGCTTCTTCCACTTCTCACCTACCATCATTTTTGACAGCTGGATTCATCTCCTGTGGTGTGCCAATATCTTGGAATATGCAGTGGCCACGTTTGCAATGATTAGAGGCTACTTTTTCCCTGCCAGTACCAAAGACTGGTATGTGAATTTTAGTAATGAGAGAATTCTAGGTATGAGAGGTTCAAATGGTTACGTAAAATTTGAGTATTTAAATTGAATGACAGGATATATTTCACTGGTTTCACAGGGAGCTTGAGCAGTGTATGGCAGTGGTTCTTTGCTTCACTAGCACCATCCCCTGTGTTTTGTGCTGCACACCATGGCACTGGCAGCCTCAGTGTCACAGAGAGCTGCAAAGGAGGTTTGGTTGTTGGTTGCTTGTCAAGGGATGAGCGGTGGAAATGGGGAACTACAGAACCTTAAACAAAAGGTTGTGAAACTTGTTACAAATTAGTGCCGTTTTCAGCACTTGACAATATGGAATATGGTCAACTGAGGTTTATTTTGGTATGGAAACCAGGATTTGTGAAGCTACTGAGCTGAGCTGGTTGGCCTGGGGTAAAGTTATTTATTTTCATAGTAGGTGCTATGGGCATTCTTTTGGATGGGAGCCGAGACAGTGTCACTAGCACAGGCATGGTTTCACTATTGCTGAGCAGTGTTTACACAGCATCAAGGCCTTTTCTGCATCTCACCCCACCCACCAGGGAGTGGGCTGGGTGAGCACAAGGAGTTGGGAGGGGACACTGCTTACCCCAAGGGACCCAAGGAATATCCCAGGCTGCATGGCATCCTGTTCAGCACGTAAAGCTGGAGAAAGAGGGAAGTGAGGGATTTCAGGAGTGATGGTATTTGCCATTCCAAGTTACCATTACATGTGGGTGAGCCCTGCTTTCCTGGAGATGGCTGAACATCTGCCTGCAGGTGGGGAATAGATTCCTTATTTTGCTGTGTTTGTGTGCATTGTTTTTCTTTTTGCTATTAAACTGTGTTTGTCTCAACCTGTGAGTTTTATCCTTTTGCTGATTCTCTCCCCCATTGCACTGTGGGGGAGTGAGCGAGCAGCTGTGTGGGGTGAGTTGCCATCTGGGGTTAAACCATGAGAGTCCTTTTTGGTGCCTGACATGGAGCTTGAAGGGTTTGAGTTAACAGCAGCTTTGGCTGGAATGTGCTGGGTTGGATTTAGAGCTGTTGGCGCTGTTGTGGTCAGGCTCCCGTGCCTGCCATGGAGCTCGTTAGGGGTTTCATTTTGATTTTGCTGCAGTCTGTAGTGCTTCTCCTCTTCCTGTGCTGTGCCTGGGGACACGGATGACAGCCATGGTGACAGACCTGGGCTGGGAGGTGGCCAGGGCAGCGCTGCTGTTTCTGTGCTGCTGGAACTCCAGTGTGAGCTGAAGTCAAGAGAACTGTGAGCTGTGGATGAGCCCCCATGAGAACAGGATACCCCCAGGCATCAGTGGCTGGGGATAAGCCCATGGCAGAGCAGGAACCTCTCAGAGCATCTGTGGCCGTGGTTATGTCTGTGCCCAAGAAGGGATTGTGGCCCCAGGATAAACCCAAAGCCGCTGTGGCTGTGGATAAGGCCATGCTCAGCAGGTGCCCCTTGAAACATCAGTGCGTGTGCATGGGGTCGTGCTGGAGCACATCACAGCCGTGGCCATGGATAAACCCCTGGCAGAGCAGTTACAGCCTTGGAGGTACTGCAGCCATGGCTAAGGCCACATCCACTTCTTTAGTGTGGAGGGAAAACTTCATTCCCCATCTCTTGTGTAAAATCATATTTGTAAAAATGTACGGTTATAAATTCTTAGTTTCAGGGCAAATGCAATACTGAATATTTTCCTTCAGCTCTTTCTTTTCTTGTTACGTGGTTATCTTTCAGAGTGACTAAAGGATACAAAAGGAGCTCTTGGAAAAGGTTGATTTCAAGAGCTGCTTGGAATTCTATTTTCCAAGGTGAAACTAAAAAGAAAGAGGGATCGTAGTATGAACTATGCAGCTTGTAACAAGCATATGTTACATACCATACTATATATGGTAGTTATGTTCAAGCTGAAAGACTTTTTAAAAATTAGATTTAATTGAAATGAAATTAATTTTTTAAAATTTAATTTTAAATTACCTCTTTAAAATGTTTAATTTAATTTGTTTATAATTATGCCACATAAATATCCTGTTAGTTTTCAGAGTAAATAGAAAAGTGTGTCAATTGAAAAGTGTTTTGTAGAAGCAGCTGAATGCACTGATCTTCATGGTAGGTTTGGATGAGTTGTGTGTTTTTGAGTTTGTTGCAGTCATCCTGGAGAGGATGGTCTGGGCAGGAGAAAAAGACTCTCTGCAAACGTAGAAAACAAATGTATCTTGTAGCTGGGCTTTGCTTCAGAGCTGGATCTACACACATCCTTTCCTTATGTAGCTATGGAAATTGCACTGCCCCTTTGCTGTTAATGCCAAGGTTATTTGAATATTGCAATATTTAGTCTGGACTCTTAAATCATGGTAGCCTTGCACAGCACAGTGTGGTCCCTTCTGTTCCCTGAGAAATCTTGGATGTTTTGTGGAAGAAATTGCCCCTTCAAGACCAATAAAAAACCATTTTAGTCTGTTCTGTAAGCTTCATCCTAACATAAGCGCTGTGTAAGCAGTGCTCCGAGCAGTGTCCCACTAATGTCACCCTTGAAAACTGGAATCTGAAGGACCATCAGCTTGCTCATCTTCATGCCTGGGTCACCTTGTTGTATGCATGGTAGTGCTGTCAAATTCTTTTCTTCCAGAATACAAATAAAAGAGAAATAAAACAAAATAAAATAAAATAAAAAGAGGGTGGATTTTGGGGGGTGTATATTGGATTATTTTTTGTCCTGATACTTGTTATTTATTGATACTCTGTGGCCAATATCCTAACCTATGAAGTTTGAAGATCACCTATCCAATCTCTGTAGTGTGGTGGGAATTTCAAATGTAAAAGCGTCAGTATTTGCAAAATGGTACTTATTTAACTTGGGTTAAATAAAACATTATAGAAAAACACAGCAAAATCTTCTGGTAATTACTTGGTGCAGTTAACAAAGTAGTTTGTCTGGATTATTGTTGGAAGAAAAGTTACAAATTCTCACTTGAAGAGGGCACAAGAAGCTGAGCAACTTCCAGATTTAGATCTACCTAAGGAGCAAAGTACATCCCAGTGCTGCAGTGTATAACCATCATTATGGATTGTCAGTGCTCTGTTTATGGATGGAATGGAGTGGGGAGAGGGGAACTTGCAATTCCTCTGGAAAGGGAGGATGCCTTCACACATGGGAAACCTCTGCCACGTCTGTCATTTCTGAGAGGCTCCACCTTTGCAGCATAAGGTTGGTTGTAATGGAATGGGATTGCTTGATTCCAGTTTTACTCTGATGGTGGCAATGACAACAGGAGAATGCGCTGTGGCCTTGTGGTGGTATCCAAACTATTTTCTGCTCTTAATTACCAGTCTAAGGTTCTGATCATGTGTTAATCTGGAGCTGCACTGCCTAAATTGGTTCTGTTCAATAATGCAGAGTCTTCCCTCAAGGTTAAAAGTGATATGCAGTTGAAGATATATCTGTAATAGCATATTTTTTCTACTTTATTTCATACAGGATAAAAAAAGTCTAAATGTGTGAGTCAAACCAAAAGCTTGCTTTATTTATAGATGACGGATACACATTTACTTTATGGCTACTGGACAGGTAATGAAACTATTTTTTTTAAATTTGGAGATGAGGAATAGGTTTAAAACATTTTCCCTTAAAAATGTAAAAATTACACAGTTGACAGAAATGTAAAATACACGTATTATCAACTTAGCAAGGTATAAATCAAAACAATAAAAAGATCTAATAAGTACATGTTGCAACAGCTGCATCTCTGTAAAGCAGTATGGAAGGATTGGTAAATAACGACAAGAATAAAACAGAGGAAAGGTCATCTGAGTAGAGGAAGTGAAAAAAGGAAACCAATGAGTTCAGAAGGGAAAGATATAAACCAAAAAGAAATTACGCTCATTTTGCAAAAAAAATAAAAAGACAAATTTGTGTAACTACATCTTGTACACGGGGGAAATGAATAACTGTATAGTGTATTTTCAACTCCTAATCTAGAAAAGATGGTGTATAACCTAGGATGTGAACTACTAAGAGTTGCAACAGTAATAAAGCAATGACACAAGAAAGGTTCTCAGAATGACATTTACAAAATAATTTGTCCACTGTAAAACGCATAGAACACAGATAATGTATTCAAAGGCAGAAACGGAGAAGCAAGGTACAAAACCTTTTTTTTATTAAAGCAGAACGTAAAAAACTAGGCATCCAAAACTGAACTCCCAGAACCCAGAGGAAAGCCAGAGATTCTGAGGGACCGCAGAGTTCCAGGACCCTGCGTACCAGGAAAGGGTGGCGGTGCCATAGGGCAGGACATTGACACTGCTGAAACAATCGATCCTCCAGGCACAAAGGCAGCAGCGTTTCCATGGGCAGCTGAGTGTGTGGAGCAGGCAGTGCAGGAGCAGGAAGAGGAAGAAGGAGGAGACCCTTAAGAGACGACTGCCTGCACCCTCAGATGCGTGGGCCTCTGTAAGGTAGGAGTGATTCCTGGTCCAGAGTGGTAGTAGAGCTGCAAAGTTTTCATTAAAAATGTACCTAGCTTTTCTAGTAATTTCCCAATCAGTTTAGATGGAATAGTTTGAGCCTGGCTAGGCAGTAGGATAAAGGTTCCTGGGGTTTTCTACGCAGTAATCTAGATAATTCATTCCCTAGTTGCACCAGGGGATTTTTATTGCTAGGACAAGTGCTTGTAGAAGAATTTCTTCTGCAAATGCCGTTATTACTGGTGCTTAGTGCATTGGAGAAACTTTGTTACATCGCTCCTGCCTTGACTGGGGGAAGAAGCATTCTTTGTCATCTAATTCCAAATTCTCTTTCTTTCCTTTCCCCATAGTTTTGTGCAGAACCTCCTGATGCCTGAGCATGCAGATTGGCCCAGAAAATTGCGATGGCAAAACTGGAGTCCAGAGCCGTTCCAGGGGGTGTTTCCTGCAGCCACAAAGGCAGGGGCAATTTCCTGGAGCTGTCACGTGCCTGTCCACGGCTTTGAGGATGCTGTGG